GCAACATGCTGATGTGAGGCTCAAAGGTGAGACTAGAGTCAAGTATGACACCAAGACAGCGCGCTTGCAAGGATGGGCTGATGTTGGTACCACAAACTTGAAGGGAGTGCAAAGAGGAGGATCAGTATTAGGAGGAGGAAAGACAAGGAGCTCAGTTTTTGAGAGATTGAGTTTCAGAAAGCGGGAGGACATCCATTCAGAGATGGAAGAAAGGCAAGCAGTGACACGTTGCAGGACAGCAGGGGAGAGGTCTGGGGAGGAGAGATATAGCTGGGTGTCCCAATGCCCTCTGTCCCTTAACCCTACCGTGGTAATTATTGCAGTTTCTACAAGACAGCCACTAGAGGGACTTCCAGAATCGAAATGAATCTTTGGTCCGTTAACTGGCGCTGGACGTCCTCGCACTCTGCATGAGGACCTTCAGCGTCAGATTTTACCCCATAGGAAAGCATTGAATAAATGTATAAATGAAAGCATTGAATAATGCTTTCCCATGGGGAAATCCTAATGCGTGCGCGGCCATTGTCGTGCATGCACATTAGGTCTCCCCGCCGGCTGACGCCTGGCACTATAAAAATGCCTTTAAATTCACAAAAGGAATTCATTACATTCTATCGCAATAAGAGATGACGATTGTCAGAATTGGTAAATTTGCTTTGACCAAATAAAAAAATTTAATAAAAAAAAAAAAAAAAACACACACACCACAATATAGCATACTGATGAGAGTTAGAAGCAGAGAGCAAATAAAAACAATATATATTGACGCATTCTACATCTTTACAGAATATAGTGCCATGAAACATTGGGGAGAGAAATAAAGAATGGAAAACAAAAATGTTGCCTCTGCTTCCTGAGGATACAGTCAGTCCATACCCTGAACAATAACTAGGAGATAAAACATTAAAAAGTATGTAGGATCATAACCCCCAATATAAAAAGTAAGAAAAAAAAGGCAAGGTAAGGTGCAGTATAACCTGCCAAATTAACAGCTTTCTTTGCATGAACATTTCTCCCAAGAAAAGAACAAAAACAAAATGGGGGAGTAGTCCCAGATGTCCCTGTTCCCCCCACCACAGGGCTTTAGTCCAGATCCCACTTAGTAAATCTGAAATAATGCAGTAAACTTAGGTTTGTGTCGTGCATTGTTTTCTATTAATAGGACTTAAAGGTAAAATATTTAAAAATCACACTGACATTTTGTCTTTATTCTGTTACTTTTCGTAAACAAATTTCATTTCACGTGCTTCAAATTATACCACCTAGTGCTTCTGACATTTTGATTTAGATGTGTATTTTATCTATAGGGGTTGTTTTACCTTACGTACTCTCAGTTTATGCATTACAGACACTCCTCACTTGCCAACCGGGTTCCCCGAACATAGACAAACGCACCAGAGCAGGGAATCCCTTAACTCCCCTTAACATAGACATGGCCACCAGAGCAGGGAATCCCCACGACGGCTCGCACTTACAGGTCGTAAGTGCGAACCATCGTAAAACAGGTTGGTTGCTAAATGAGCACCACCTATAGTGAATTTAAATATGAATTTGCCAACTTTAGGACAATTGTAAAAATACTGGAAAGGTATTGATGTGAAATTGTCCTTGATTGTGGACACCTTATTTGGAGCTGGTCCAGGGACTTTGTAAAGCAGACCTGGGTTAGGGTGCAGGCACCATGAATTAGACCAGGACAGGTACAGTTACGCAGGCATTGATGCAGGCTTCTGGATGTCCTGGGCCTTTTAAATAAACACTTTATGCACAGTGGGACAGCTGGCAGGGGGCATTTCACCCCAGATCACTAGCATTGGAGGGCTGTCAAGGGGGATGTGAGCTGCAAATTCACACCTTTTATAATAGACAGCAATGCATCCAGTTTGGCTATTTTTTCCATGCTCTTGATCAGGTCAGGTAGGAGACATTTGCCAGAGGTAACTGAAGAGGCTTTATTTGTAGGTTTTGACACTCAGTAGTATAATGTGAGGATATTTATGGGGTGATAAATATTAAAATAGTTTCATAAAAATTTATCAAAAAAATTTAATATTTATATAAATTGATATCTGGGCGCGGTTTCCCCGAAATTAATATAAAGCTGAGAATTACTCACAATTTTAATTCTCTTAGATCCTAGAGAAAGTCATCAGAAGATTTTACCTCACACAGTGATCACAATTTTTGTATAAAAATATAATTTATTGTGACAATAATGAAAATAATAATATGTAACATGCGTGACAATAATCAGTGAATATTTAGTATAACATAGGCACACAAAAATGGCAATGGTTTAACACAATACAGCAGCTAAAAGCAATCAGCTGTCAAGAGATTTATGATAGTTAAACAGTCTTAAGAAACAGAAAGCAAAACTTCACAGCGCAGCGAGAAGCAATAAAACCGTGTCGAACACTTAGATCACACTGAATTGACCCTTTCCCTGTTGGCTAGACTTCTCCTAGGCATATAATATCCTATTCTGTTGCATTTTTCAATTAAAGCAATGTTCATACCAGATCAGTAACCATTCCTGGAACCATCCAATAAGAATAATCTACCAGATTTTACATTAGCCAAATTTTAACTTTCCTAAATAAGATTCACTATCTTATATCAGAACAAGTCATTATTTCTGGATAAGATGTGCCACGCTAATCTGTTGGTAGATATTACCTTTAATATATTGTTATCTTTAATCCACTTGCAGGAATGGAATTTTTTATAACCATATATTCTTTAGTTAACTAAGATTTCTAATGATTTAAATCTGACAAGATTTATCTAGATATATTGCTGCTATTAGTAAAATTTAAATAAAATTTAATTAAATAAAATTAGCATAATTACCAGTTATGTTGTAGATGCTCTTATCAGATGAGTAGATAGTCCCAGGAACTTGAATGCAAGTATGATTGATGTATATAGGATTGTATGTAATAGAAAAGTGGTGTTGGTTAGAAAGTAATAGTAAAATTTTAAGTGTCCAGGAAGTGTTTCTTGAGTTGTGTCCAAGAGAGTTTGAATATGGTCAAAGAGTATGAGTCTTTGAATGTCAGATTTGAGTGTCAGTCTCAGAGTTGAAGGTCCAAATGTAAGTCTGCCTGAATCTCCTTTGTCCTTACTTTTTAAAGGGCCAAACTCTCTGCACGTCATTAGTTGATCGGACGAATAGGTAACTGTAGGTGTGTCTACCTTACAGATCATCATCATCATCATCATCTAGATCAGGGGTCCTCAAACTCCAGCCCCTTAGATGTTGCTGAACTACAACTACCATGATTCTCTGGCTGTCTATGTAATTCAAAGAATCTAGGGAGTTGTAGTTCAGCAACAACTGGGAGTTTGAGGATTCCTGATCTAGATTTTGGTCAGTATATGGCACAATTACATCACCAAGATCTCTTGTCCTGGAATGGATTAACTGAAAATGATGATGATTTTGACGTCATTACTTTATCTATTTTATGACTGCATAAATCTAATTCCTGTCATATTCAAAGGATTTCCCCAGTCTTCGTGGTGGCAATTTCGATCGTAATTCTGGAATAGACACCTCCTAACCTTAATTTCACCCTTTACTTACAATGGGACTTTGTAAGCTTTAGAAAGTAAAATTAATTACTAAGCATTATCTGTAACTGTTATCTGGTTCTTGTGTCTGTGTTTAAAATTATTTATATTCCACTAACATTAAGAAATAGTATTCCATCCCCCCTCTTGTGAGACATCATTGACTTGTTTACATAACGCATTCCTTAGCGCAGGCTTGAATGAATAGAGTTACAGATAGAAAGAAATTCTGTGTCTTTTTGTTCTTATAAATGCAAAATGGAGTCAGCTCTGTTCTGAGTGACTCTGGCAATATACACTTTTAAATTTCTATCTTGGCACAAAATGTCTGCCGATATAAATATACTGACAACGTGTAGAAAAAAAAAATAATAAGGAGAAGGAAAGGGAGAAATAAACATTAAGGCAATATGCCCTAAATATAAAACAAACAAGTGTGCAAATAATAAAGCTGGATAAAAGTATAGGAATAATAATAGGACAGGTATTAGGAACTATAAGGAGTCAGGGAAAGAAAATAACACCCCGTTAAAAATTGTGTTCAGCAATGTCCAGATAATGATTTTGCAGAGTTGTATCAATCAGGTAGGAAGGTTAAAGCAGATATATATGTTATCCAGGTTGGTATGAAGCAGGGTTGTATAAATTAGGTAGGTAGGATATTGCAGAGAAGTGTAGTTGTAGATAATCCAAGTTGGTAAGCAGCAGGGGTGGTAGCAATTCAGGTAAGTAGCAATGCAGGTAGGTTACAGGTTCTCTCACAGGCGCCAGGATCTGAAGTGCTTGGTATGAACACCAACTTCAATGTAAAGGCCTCTTGCTTTGTTGGGCGTGGCCATTTATAGCAGAACTTTGTTTCATATGAGACAGGTGAGTCCGAGGTGACTAGTGGCTAGGGAGGCCACTAGAGGTGAAAAACAGGAACTTTATTTAAAGGGATGGTAATAAACAGAAAAGTCTTGCTTGTCAGGATAGGAACCTGACAATTTTGGTCTAAAATGTGAAATTTCAGACAATTCTCACTTTAGTGAATTCTGCTGTATGTGTTTAATAAAAGTCCAGCTCTCCACAGCTTGCACTAACATTTTGCACACATTTTAGCTGACAATGATTAGCAATTAATCCATATGATGTGCATTTTCAGTTTTGCCATATCATTTCTAAATGTAGTCATTCTTTCACATGCACGTTTGGGCCTTGGTAGATAGCTTGGCTCCCAGAGTATATAAACCAATCAGAAACATAAGAAAAATATAACACATATTACATTTATAGAACATACAAAACAAACAAATCTTTACAGTTACTATCGTCTTGGTTTCACCATATACAAAGAGAACCACACATTTTCATAGATTTTAATCTGGATGACAATTTGTATTGCAGTTTCTCTTTTTTAATTTTTACATTCTTTAACTTGTAAGACAAAAGGGGCGGGGCCTGACAGCCAAGATGGCCGGCCGCACATGCTGAGAGCTCCTGCAGCTACAGACAAAAGAGTAACGATAACGAGCGTTCTGAAAGCGCTAGCGGCAGACGGTGACCGGCACCAAACACAGGAAGACACGAGCTACAAAAATATACCGGCCCAACACCGGAGCGCCGTGGAAAAAACGACATCGGCCATGCGGCCTACACCAGAGCGGGAACTGAGGTCTAGGGGAGGCGGACGATTCCCCGGCCCAGGACGCGCTCACAAGCGAGAGCACACCACAGCCCCGCTGCCCCCCCCTCTGGACCGGTGGGGGACATCCCGGTCCTCGCTGGGGACGAATACCCCCAAATCGCTGACAGCCCAAGCGACAAACCTCTCATGCAACCAAGACCGCCAGGGCCTAGCCAAGATGGCGGCACAGAAGCGGACAAAAACAAGGCGTACACTCACTATACCACCAAAGCACATTCCGGAATTTTATGAACGGCTACGTACTTACCTCTGGAAGAAGCTTCATGCCCGGGGACAGCTCTTCAGGCGAGCCGTGAGAGAGATAGAGGCGTGGATCCGCCCGGCTACCCGGCGCTATCTGCAGGGGAATCTCCCTCACGCCTATGGAGCAGCCTCCCGACGGCAACGGAACCGCAGAACAGCAGGACGGGAAGCGGCGCCAAGCTCCCCAGACAACATCAATCATGCTCCCAGGCTTCAGAGCCGGACCCGCCGGCGCACACGACCTGCCTACCACTCAGCAGTCCCAGTAACAGCTCCACAGCAAAGCGCAAACCCGCGCAGGGGAACACACAAGGCTCATCGAGTCACCACTCTTGCTACAGCAGGGTTGCCAGCCGGCGGACTAAACCGGCAGACAGCCCATCTACAGCCTCCCGGGAGGAGAACCTCCGGACCTTGGTTTTGCAGTGGGACTAGTGTGGTGCGAGTGGGAGTAGGGTGATCCACACAAGCGGGACTCTGTCTAATGCCACCCTCACCCCTCGCCATACCTGCCAACATAGCATGACAAGAGTCCTGAATACCTGCCATTGACAAAGTATCTGAATAATCTATTACACATGTAATTTGACATGTTTATTAGGCTGGTTTTACTTTTAAATTTCTCTCACATGAATAGCATGCCACCTTTATCGATAATGCTGGTGCCAAAGTATGCTTAGTAACTGAAGCTAGAGAATGCCAACGCAGCCCACCACAAAAGATAAGCTGAGGCAGCCTGCATTAACTAGAGATTCATGCTCCCTACTAACTACCTGCTTCACCTTACCCAGTGCTCAGATATGCGCAGCGAACAGGTCACATAGCCAAACGTGATTACCTAGCATGTTTCAATAACTGGCCAAATGATGTCACTAGCATTTTACAACTACATCACCTGAATTACAACTGTTGCTACTAGTCCAGTAAATGCACTGACCGCTCCTGTTTGCATGAAATTTGATGAGGAATGATAAAATCCTATTAAGCATGGTTAAATCTAATTAAGCAGTTAGAAACCTGTACTAGATGTTGACATGCATAGCCTGTAGTATGACAACCACATAACAACCAAAGTGACTTAATCTTGTTTATATAAAAAATGTGCAATGTTTCTTATGTCACATTACTGTTACCGCATGTTTCTTTTATGTTTGCACCAGCTGTCGTGGCAGTGCAAAACTGCTTGTTATTTCTATGCACGAATAAAATAAAGAATTAAAAAAAAAAAAGAAAAAGGAAAAAACTTGTAAGACAAAAGTATCATTGGTACTTATGTATTATTACTATAGATCATTCTTGGGAAACTCAATATATCTATAACATTTACATCATCAGAGTTATTCAGTAAGCCAAGATTTTTTTAAAATGTAGAAATCAACTCGTCTCCACCATAGTCCCTGACAGTTTCTAGTTTATTGTATAATACTGTCAATTATTTATCCATCATAGCTATTTTGGCCTAATGTTTGCAATCATCTTGGAAATTGTCCACAATTCCTGCTTTAATAAATAAACATTTAATTCCGAAGATCAATGATAATTATGTTGCGTTTGAAACATAAATTTGCCAATAAGTTTGATTTGCTCAAATAGGTGTATTTTGTTCTTAATAACCTACCCTTTGAAAATGATGAACTGTGTATAAAAATATCGCTTCTATAGAGCACATGTAGATAAAGACACGTGAGATTACTTAGGTCTACCCATATATCTTCCATGTGAAGTATTATGGATCCTTAGCATTATGCAGAAGAACATTTCGTAATCTCTAAACCTCCCCTCTTCTGTCTTCTTTCTTTTATCCCCTTGCTTAACTGTCAATGTAATTGCATTTTCTGTCTTCTATGTATCTATTATGTTCTAATCTATTATTATCTAGTAGGCAGGCAATCCTGTCTCACACTACCGAACCGAGCTAATAAGTAACATGCTCTTTGAAGTCTGGGATAAATATAATACTAAAGCTTTAGAATTTTATTAATTATATATATATATTAACACCCACTATTAACCATCAATTCTGGATTCGTTTGAGGATTACAATATGTTTAAAGGTAATAATCCTGTTCTGAGCAGATTGTGAAACAATAGTGAGGCATTTGTTTTTAATGATGCACATACGGGTGATTCGTGTGCATTTAAATGTGTCAAGGAAGATTTTATACAGCATTTATCAAATTTATTAAGCAAATCTATCACTTGTAATTGTTTTGGTTGTCAGGTTTACACACAGGTGAGGTGTTCCCTGGGAAAATGTATTATGTATGATATATATAAGACAGATAATCACACAAAAGGTAGAGCAATGTTTCTAAATTTGTGTGTAAGAAATAAAAACACTTATGAATAATTGTTCTTTCTGAAAAAATTCCTGTAACGGAACCCCTGTGCCCAAACTAGTTACCTTTGCCAGGATTCCCCCTTTGGTGATTTTAGCCCCTTGAAAAAAAAAAACTTAAAATTACAAATAATTACAAGGAACTGGGAGTCCAGATACAACTAGAGCTGGTATATAACATCTAGTAAACGTGGAGTGTGGAGAATAATTATAGTTAATAAAGTTTGCCTCCTTGTTTTTAAAACCATATGCACTATATGTCTTTTCATTTTATTTTTTTCATGTATACATTGGAAAATACAGGGAATTTCTCAGAAAGAAACCATAAGACAAAATAAGTATTCAAAAGTTATTTTTATTCCTAGCGCACAAATTTAGAAATGTTGTTCCACCTTTTATGTGATTGTCTGTTTAATTGTTTGTGCATGGTGTGTTAAACAAAAGTGGGTAAGCTGCACTAAGGTGTTGAAGCAGTAGCTTATAATTAACACAGTAGTGCTTCAAAGGCGGAAGCAATAAAACACCTTTTTTTCCCTTTTCCCCTTTTTTGTGCTTTTTGCAAGTATCCATTGTTTATTATAATATATATAGTTATTTACTAAAGTGACAATTGTCAGGAAATCAAACTAAATTTCAAATTCAAGGTCAAAGTAGCCAAACTGGAAGCATATTTGAGTTGGAGATTTTTTCAGTTCTCCTTTTTTGTCTTTGAATTTAAAATTCACTTTGAATTAATTTAGAATTTTCAACACTTCTCAGAAAAACCATACTGGGTTATTATTGTTATTGTTGGCATTTATATAGCGCCAACTTTTTTCAGCAGAGCTTTACATTATGATAATGGAGGAAATTTATAAGACAATTACAAAAATAATACTGCTCTCCAGACCTTGTCATGAGCAGTATGCTACACTTGTTGCAAATAGAGAATCTATTCTACTAATCTTAGCGGTTCATTATCGCATTATTATTATTATATTTATATAGCGCCAACAAATTCCAAAGCGCTTTACAATGGGTGGACTAACAAACATGTAATTGTAACCAGAGAAATTGGATGGCTTGATAATAAAATTATTCAAGGAGTCCAAATAGTGGCTTGTGCACCAAATTAGTCCAAGGAAAGAGAATACAATGTATCATAAAAACCTCTAACTTGCAAAGATATCCTTTGCAAGATTAAACGAGGTTGATATGAATTTGATTTACATTCATATAAGAAGGTTTTAGCATAAGAAAAAAGTAGAAAACGGAGAAAATAAGCAATAAAAATAATAATAAGATCGGGCTTGTTTGTATAGCAGACTAACACCCTAATTAATAGTCCAGAGCAGAAAACTGGGATAACTGCCAGAAAATATAACTGTAAAAGCTAAGAAATGTATCCTGAGTTGTTGCGTTTTAATATCCAATTGGTATTATAAAAAATGTGTCCATTTGTGTCAAAAACGTACTTATAAAAGTTAATATTAAAAAATATATGAATTTTATTTGCATCAAAATCAATAACATCAAATAATTTTAAAAAACTTTTAAAATATTAAATCAGAAATGTTCCACAAAGGTATATATGCATGAGAGAAAATAGAGAACTGGTATAACCTGAATGCTTCTTCTGGATGGCTAAGGATTGTAGTGTTCACCTTCCGAATCCAATATGCAGAGCCGGTGAGAGCGGCGTCCGCGTCCTCGGAACTGTCTCTCTGACCTCACATCAAGAGGTAAGCCTCCAGGATGACGCTGTATTCCAAACAGAAGACGTCAGTGGTTACCAGGGATCTCTTCTCTCTAACCCGTCTGTGGATTCAGCAAACTGCAGCCTTACGCGTTTCGTAGGGTACTGCTCTACTTCATCAGAGGCATATCACAAACTGAGTCAATATTGGTGTATATATACACCCATTGTTATCACCGATTGATTTCATCTTTTAAAAGAACCATTAATTAACTTAATCATTTAAACATATATTTCAGCGAAAAACTTCATCAATATATAGACACAAAGGAATTAATACACATGTACAGATATGAATAAAAACCGCAAATACAAACAAAATATATCAAAAATAAATCAGGAATAAATAGACAGACCATTTTTCACAATAATACAAAAAAACAAAAACCAAAATAAATTGAAAAGCGGACCATTTTTAACAATAATATAAATAGGCATCTTCCAGATATCAAATAAAAGAGTATATGCATTAAACATATTTTTATGTTTTCAATCTTTGTTGTATCAAAAGAGGAGGAATCTTGAACTTTAAAATTAGAGTTATAGCTACATCTTTAGAATCAAGAATCGAACTTAGTTACAAATTAAAATGCTGCATTCTATGTAAGAATGCTGCATACTATATAAGAAACCCAGAAAACCAGCAGGAGGAAAAATAAAAAAATAATAATAATTAAGATTCTCAAAACTTTGTTATAAAAAAGATATTACACTACCACTATCGATCGACTAATTAATAAAATAGTCCAAAAGGATCCAATTTAATATAGAGATTCGATTGGATAGAAAAATTGTATAATATAAAAATATATATGATATGGGTGGAGAATTCTTTCAAAAAAGGATCGTTGGAGAGGTGTTAACAAAAAAGAAACCCTAAAAAAAATCCTAAATGATTTTTTTTTAAATGTTTAAAAACTTGCTGTTACAAATATAAGAATGAAATATAAAATATATAATATAAAAATTATACAACTAAAAATAAAAATAAAAATTGATCAAAGTAGATATAAATTCATCAAAGTAGATAAAAATTCATAAAAATTGGTACAAATTAAGAAATTCTAAAAAATTACAAATTCAGAATTAACACACATTATTTTATAAAAAAGCATTCCACTCAAAGTCTACATTAAGTCCCTTTGGTGTAAGGGTGTTAAGAGTAAAAATCCATTTTGCTTCTTTTTGGTCTAAAATCTTTTCTAAATTACCACCTCTCCAATTGGTTTCTACCTTTTCTATTGCCATAAACCCTAAACCTATTGGATTTCCATCATGAAATTCTTTAAAATGCCTAGATGGATTATGTGTTAATAAACCCTTTCTCACATTTTGTATGTGTTCAGAAATTCTTGTTTTTAGTTGCCTCTTTGTCCTCCCTACATATTGTTTCAGACATGGACATGTAACTAGATATATTACCCCAGAGGTATTACAATCCATATTATGTCTAATCTTATATTCTTTCCCATCATCCATAGATGTAAAAGACACTTTTCTTTTTCTCTTGTTGAGGGTTGTTTTTACACCCTTGACACTTATTACACATTGAAAAGCCTTTATTACATGTCTCTTTGTGATTTTGAAAAGAGGTTTTTAAAGTTGGTGCCAGCAACAGTTACAAACCTTTGTTTCATTTCTTCCATCTGTTGATTACATACTTCCAACTGTGAACAATTTCTCTTTACTCTTCTAAACTGGCTTTGAGGAATATTTTTAAGCCATGTGGGTTTATGATGGCTGTCAAATGATATGAAACTGTTACAGTCTACACTCTTTTTAAATGTTTTCGTTTGCAATTTCCCTTTCGCAATATAAATACTTAAATCAAGGAATTCCACTTGTTCCTTTGAATATGAGAAGGAGAATTTGAGATTATATGGGTTGTGGTTAAAATAAGACATTAACTTTTCTAGTGATGGTAGATCCCCTTTCCAAATAAAAAAACAATCATCGGGGGCGGAGCCTGACCGGGGAGCCGAACAGACACGATATCTGTGGGCTCCCGATCCTGAATCCAAATACCAGCAAAAACGAGGGGAACCTGCAATATTGAACCCCAGCCTACCTCACCCTGTGCCACAGAAGTTGAGGAACCGGGGAATACCTTACACGACCTGATCGCTCG